TGGGGGCTAAGAACATGCTTATCTCCCTGAGCATGGCCTTCATAAGTCCATTCCATCACGGTTACTTTTATAGCCTTAAATAATTTAGGGCTTGGCTGTTGGATGGATTGCTCATCTTGATATGAATCTGCCCAGGCACTAAGATGGGTAAGAGAAATCCTCATAAAGAAACATGTGCTTTTAGTGATCCATCAATTGGTTGTGCGGGAAAAGCTGTGTAGTTGCTCCCAAATGTGTTTCCCCAGGAGTTTTGTTAGCTCCTACTTTTTATGCTTTCAGGAAAGAAGTTAAACGCTGCTTCTTCTGATTACGTTAATTGTGTTTTATTAGTTTTATAATGTTTATGTTTTATTTTAGATGTTAATTGCTTTGGGTGCCTATTATTATTTAATAATAAAAACTAAATAAGGCAATTAAGCTCAAGTTTTAAAATTAATTAGTTACTTCATTGCTTAATAAAATATTTCTTAAAGTGTGTTCTTAGGACCCCTGGGGGTCCCCCAAGTCCCTCTCAGGGGTCCACAAAATCAGAATTATTTGCCAGCCTATGTTGAAAAATAATACAGTATTAAGATCCCCTGAAACAATTCTGAGAAGCAGTAGTGGCAGCAAATGCACCAATTTTAATTTTTAATATGGTAAATATTGATAAATATAACCCATAAAAACAAATGCTTCTTTGGGGCCCTCGATAATTTTTAAACATGAGAAGGGGTCCTGAGAGAAAAAAGTTTGAGAAACACTGGCTTAATACATGTAGGTGACTCTGCATATGTGTTGGTGTTAAGGCTGTGTAAGTCTTTTGAAAGATGTACTTGGCAATGTGAGGGAATGCATAAAAAACTCTTTTTGAATGGTTAAAGCAGACATGTTTGCAAGCTTCCTACGCTTCTTGACTGTCATTGCATGCTTGTGATTGCACAGCCATTTTGCATGGAGAGGCAGCCTTGCCCTGTATGCTCTAATTTGAGTCAGATATTGTTAGCTATTTGTGAATCAATAGCATTTGTCAACTTAGGATACAATGATTTCCTGCTTGACTGACCTATAATTACTTTGATTTTTTTAGCGTTGGATTCCTTGTTGACATCCTCGATGACAACTAATCACCATGAATATGCAAATGTTTATAACTGCTGGTGTTCTGGTACATTGTGTGTTCCTGATCTCCATTTTTGACATTTACTTCACCTCTCCTTTGGTCCATGGAATGACTCCTCATCAGATTCTGCTGCCACCCCCTGCCCAACGCTTAGTACTGTTTGTTGCAGATGGTCTACGTGCAGATTCGCTATATGGATTGGATGACAGTGGCAATTCTAATGCTCCTTACCTTAGGTAACTTAGTTTTTCTTCCAATATTTGTTATATGTACTGGTTGTTGAGGGAAAGAAGTTTGTTATTCAAGTCTGGATGTTCAGATTAGATGATTTGGTTCTTATCTTTAGGGGGAAAAACCACAAGTAGATAACTATGACAGGGGTTCCATTTTGGCATAGGTTTGTTCTCCTCCCAGTCTAGTCATGGCTTTGCATATTTCCCTGTCTCCTTCTTCAGTATGGCATGATGAGGAGATGGGACACATCTGTTTCCTGTGCTGGAAAACTCAGAAATGGATAACCTTATTTAATTTAAACCATGATTTTGCAATCAAGACAGAATAAAAACTCACATTTTGAACATGCCTTTTTCAAGGCTCAGTTCATATATAATGCTAAGCTATAATGTGATGCATTTATTTTTAATGTGATCAATGAACCCATCCAGCTTAAGAGTAATTACAGATTGTTAGTCTTAAATGTAGTGGCACGCTGCGTTTAATTTAAAAATGGAAGTGCCATATTGAAGAAGTAAAGGAGAGGGAGTTTCTGATTCAGAGGCTTGTTCTTACAACTCAAGTTAGGGGAAGGCAATTTAGTGCCCTCCAGATGTTTTCGACTTCAACTGCTGTCAGCTCCAGCCAGCTGTAGTGATGAGTTGAATCTGGAGTACCATACATCTAGAAGACATCAGGTTGTCTATCCCTGCTCTAAACTATGCTCATGAACATCAGATGTAAAAAATCATGTTATTTAAAAACTTAATGTATGATTTGAACCTGGATCTTGGGTAACCACACTTTGTGCACAAGGTTTGTTGTTGGGTTCTAAAGTGAGAAATTACTTTGAAGTTAATCTTCCTTACTGGCCTCTGAACATAAAAACTGGAGGCTAGAGTGGCTGCAAAATGGAACTATTTCAGCTACACCATTTCTTTTCCCCTTTAAACCCACTTCCTCTTCATGGGTTCATAATAATGAAGATATAATCACGGTGTGGGGGTCAGAATAGCTGTAGATTTAATTTTTTAAAAAAGACACATAACACCAAAATCCCAACGAGTGGCAGCTAACGAGCCAACGAAGAAATAAGATTACCATCAAAGATTTCTGTTCTTCATTTGCTGATTCTAATGTTAGAGCATTTGATAAGTATTTTACTCATTGTTCCTATTAGAACAGTGTTTCTCAAACTTGGCAAATTTAAAATGTATGGACTTTACCTCCCACCAATCTCCTCCCCCGGGGGGTTTTTGG